TTTCATCCACTCACTTTCAGATTCCTTTAACGGAGAAAGTCTTTCAAAGAACTTACACTCCACAACCTAATATCATTGATCGACAACTCTTCTTCAGCCATAATGAAACTCAATCAACAACAACAACAACAAAAAAAAAACGAGACAGAGTATAATTATCGATTGACAAAGTACTTGCAGCGTTACGCGTGACAGATTGGGCATAGAACTCAATATGTTACTGTGCAGGGATTGTGAAAGCGAGTTTTTGGTCACTTTGACCCGGTGACCTGTCACGTGATACACTCAATGGATGCCTCCATGGCTAATTGCGAACTCGCTTATTTTAAGGATCAGTTGTTGATGGCCATGACCATTAATTCTCGTGCTCATGTTATAGTCAAAGTAATTGGTATTATGGAATATCAAACTTACAGGGATGCGTGATTAGAAGAATTCTCCGAAATGTGGGTTCCTCTTCTTGTTCTTCACAGAACCCTGCATCGCAGATGTGAAGAGTAAAAAGACCCCAGGCAAAAAACCAATCTACCCAGCAAAGAACTTTTAAAGTAGATAAGGCTCCTCAGTGGAATCACAGGGTTGCCTCTGGAACCAACTCTTTTGAGAGAAGACTTGCTTGATCCAGGCTTGTACAGCTGTGTGTGAGGGTTTTAAATCAGAAGGTATAGCAGAGAACGTTCCCCTAATGGCCCCACATAGGAACATGAACTTTTTTTTGGATTGTTTTAATTGCTCTTTACACTGAATGCTATTTCAAGCTACTCCTCTCTTATATGAAACACCTCAAGCGGCATTATATGTATGAAACACGTTGTGTGAATAGTTGTATAATTGAAGACCCGTGCTGAAAGTATTTAAATCACAAAGATTTCCATTCTGAGAAATATGAGAAAATCAACTCAGGTAACTATAAAAGACATTTTCCCATCCTTGCCACACGGTGTGTGAAAATGTGACTTAAGTATTTTTAGCACTTAGCTCTTCAATGACTTTTAACTTTAAACCTGTGCTTTAAAACAGCCGCTGAATCTCACAGGAACACTTTACTGTTCTCCCAGGCATCCCACCCTTTTAGCTCACCAAAATGTGTTCACTCTTGCCTTTACTGATTGTGCGATGAAAACAAAGACATATTTCAAAGAAATGATTTAACACTTCTTTAAAGGTACCACATTTAGCACATCCAGCATCAGCATTACGGTAGATCTTTGACTCTGAATCAGTTACTCAAATTTCACAGGTCTTGACAGAGTAAGGATACGTCCATTTCAGCAATTGGCCTACGGCAAAAGCACATGACGACTCTGTGAAGAGTACGGCTGAATACATCGCTCCCCCTGAACGAAGCAGAATTAATACCCCTGCGCAGCACATGTGCACAGCTCGGTGATAAATCTAAGACCGTGAAATATGATCCCAAGCATTATAGAGCTCTCTGTATGTGAGAATGTACGGGACACTCGAAGTTCATTTGGCCTTCACATTCCGCGCCCTGAGATAACACAGAGAAATATAGGGTTATATTTGTGGCTCAATCCTGAGCGAGCAATTGGAGATTTTGAGCGAAGAAAAATATATTGCGCAAGCACATAAATGTTGTTTTGAGGAAAAATTAAACGTGAGCAAATGCTATGATCAATATGAACGTGCAATAATAACCCTTATCACTCAGTTTCACTCTATTCCCTCTCACAAGCTCATGCTCAACGAGCTGGCAGACAGCAGCATGCTCGTTTATAGTGTGTGTCTCCCTCTCTCTCAATCTGCCTACTCTGTGCGTGCTCAGCTTTACCTGCGCGTCCGCTCAAGCTGTGCACAGTGTTTCAAATGTGCCGCAATTCTGATTGGCTGCTTCGGCTCCAATTAGACGCATTATGACCAACCAGCAAAGAAAATGGGGAAAGTTACTGACGAAATTCGACTACAACTGGATTAAAGTGCGCCGTGTTGCATTGTTTGGGTTAACATTAACATTACTTCTAAATGTATCTTGAGACATTGGCTGTTGTGTGACCATTTTGACTCATATCCCTCTTTAGCAATCCTGGCTGCTTACTATCCACATTATTCCTGAGGGCGCTACTGTAGATGTGATCATGGGTACAACTTCCGGCGGAAGTAGTTTTTAGCGAGTGGCTAGTCAAGAACAGCGGCGTTTCTTTCAGTTAACTTAGCGATTACAGCTTGTTTTTTTAGCAAATTAACTTGCTTTTCTTAAAATGTCCCTTCAGAGCTCCAGCACCAATTGTGCTGTTCGAGGCTGAACTAACAACCAGAGGAAGCTAAATTTATGGTTTGATCAACAGTGTTTTGAACACGCACCCAGAACATAGGGGATTGTCCTTGTGTTCAGCGAAACGGTTTCCATCGCCTACTTATAGAAGAGGAAGCCAGAATTTGGTTGAAAAACCTGAATTTGAAAAGACCCCCGAAAAAATTAGGTGCTCATTTCATTATGTCGACAAACAACGATTCCTACTTTATGGCTAGGCTCAGACAGACCGCCGCAGAGGAGACGCCGGGTCCTCAGAAGCATTTTGACAGCAGTGCCAGGAGAGCATAAGGTATGATTTCACATGTAGGGAAGACAGAAAATTGCTGTATTCGTCCAGTAATGCCAGTCAGTGTAACTAACGTTTCATCCTGTACAGTTTAAGATGAGGCTGTAGAGGTAGCAATAGTCTACTACAATTTGAAAATAGCCAACTCTGTTCCAAACAATAGTCTTGCACTCCAAACCTCATTTCACTAAAATTAAAAGTATAGGAAAAATGGATTCACTGTGTTTTACATGTTATAGTATTGGATTAGCTAGCAACTTAATACCGTATAATGTAGTTGGCTGGAGTAGAGCTAATTTGACTCGTACTGTCGGATGGCTTAATTTACTCTGTATAACACTCCATTACGTTTCATATGTAGAGCAATATTTACTTTCTTGCTTTCTTCATAAATATTCTCAGAAAGTACTTGTATATCTGTTTTAAGGTACATTAGGTTGCATACTACCTCCTTTAACAAAATGCGACTGACCTTGTTGTTGTGGAAGTACTGCATACGCTTTGGAGCTTTGTAGATTATTCATAGCTTTGCAGTCTGTGGCAACGGAGTCGCTAATGTAGCCAAATGCGCTAGTATGGCCACTGCTTCAGGTCGTTCTCCCATTCTTCGATAGTAGAAGGCAGCGGTACCGTAACTTTATCCCGTCTGAGGGCTAAAAGATGATGTTCCCTCATATATTATTTTCCAATCGCTTAAAAAAAGAGGATTCGTGTGAGCCACTACCATGGTAAACAGTTCAGTGACAGGATGCAGCAGAAGTTGCGCCCAGAATTTGCACAAGGGATCATGAGACGTGGGAATAAGGTGGATAGCATCGGACGATGTCTTCTGAACAGCAAACCCAAAATGTCACACCAGAACCACGTGTGAGTGGTTTGTGCTTTGGTATTATACCATGTATTTTTTGCACCTTTATGAAATGTTTATAGCGGGGAGTGCATAGCCGAAGGCAGCGGATGGTGCGCAGCTGCAAGAGAGGTTCGGCTAGTAGGAGCCTGGGAGCGGGCGTTCGGTGGTGCGACGCTGGGCTTTGATGCGTGTGTCCCCACCAGCAGCAATGAAGGCTGGCATTGCACCGCTGGGCACCCGCTCCATAGCTCTGGACTTGTTGGCCTCTTCAGCCACGCATCGTGTTGTTTTCGGCTGTGCACTCCCTGTTGCAACGATCTTGCAGGAGTGGTTGCATTTTACTGCCTGCAATTGAGCGATCTGTTTCTGCATATTTCACGAACATTAGCGCCAGGTGATACTGGTGAGCTGAGCCGACGCTGGCACCAGTGGTCCCATAGTTAGAAGCACTCACCGTGGGAAGGGTCATTATTCCCGTTGGTTCATTTGTGAATGAATTTCCAGGTTTTTTCAAGTTTATTCCAGGTAGTTCTAGGCTATGCTTTGAGGTAATCTTTCTAAAGCAGTCCCACAAATATAAATTAACAAATCGCAACTGCCATAATTTGACACCACAATGTCTCACGTTCGCTTTATACATCCATGCTCCAGTGAGCCGGCACAGCAACACCAAAAACAGCTGAGCACCCTGGTTCTGTGACACCTAAATGCAATGTTACCCCTAATTAATATAATTTATAACACATGTGCTTTCCCTGCTATTTCAAGTCAAACTGATTGCTAATAGGGTTTAGGCTTGAGAAAGAGATGTAGATCACTGCCTGAAATGTGTCTTTGATTTTAACACAATTAACCCCTTAAGCCCTGAGCCTCTTTTTCGTAAATGGCAAGCCCAAAATGAAATGAGTATATCTCTGCGACTACTTAGTCTATTTGAATAATCTTGGTATCATTATAAAGCTAAAACCATTTGGGATTTCTGCTGTGGTGTAAAAATCAGTATATATGTCACTGAGTCAGAGTAAATGAAGATGGAACACAGTGTAAATGAAAGATCTCATTTTGCACTAAAGAAAGATTACTTCTATCCCCTGTGAACTTATGTAGCTGCAGTCTGAAACCTCTAAAAATTTACAGCACAGAATCTCACCATTATCTGTGCCAAAGTTTATTCTAATCAAGTGAATCAGAGCAAAATTAGAGAGGAATGTCTTGGTGGGTTCTCCAAATTGGCAATTCAGGTACCTTGTGTGCCAAATCAGATTTCTCAGATATTAAACTGTAAAACTCATCTAATTTCAATTATATGTCACTTCAGGCATTCATTCCACCCAAATACAACCAGTTTTTAATTTTTTAAATTTATGAATATTTTTTTAATTATTATTTCTGCCAGTCCTATACAATTTCCCATTCAAAGACAATACATACAAAGAAAATGAAGTTTGGCTCCACTGGAGCAGATTTATTTAAAAAAAGCAAATTAATGAGATTATGAATACCAAGGAAAGGTTAAAAAAAGTAAAAAGAACAAAAACTCCAGCAATTATTTATACAAGAAAAATGCTAATTTAGTCTTACTAAAGCACAACTGACCGGGGACTCGAACCTCATTCAACTATGTTGCAGCGCTACACCCTGACCACTAGGCTAGATCAGTTGACTGCTGTCTTCATGCCAAATTGCCAATGTAAAGAATGAATCAAGAAAACACATCATTCACTTTGTTTGTATTGTTGTGCCTTCAGTATTCACACGGAATGGTAGAAAGATTCTATCAGAAAACGACTTTGAAAACGACTGTTGAATATCTTGTGGATTATTATACCGAAATTACCACAAACAAACCTGTTAAACGTCTATATTGTCGCGCTATTTAAGTACATGTGAATGGCCTATGGACTCGGTTTGACGCACTGGGAGCGCAAGGCTCTTTCTCAGGCTAAGTCTGTGCGATTAAGGTGGTTTAGGGCTCGTTGGAAACGTCAGAGCCCATAGAATCAAATGGCTACTGGCAAAGTCTTACTGACAGCATCACAAGCAGATCACAGAGAGGAAAATACATTGCAAGCAAGCTGAATGGTGAGGAACTGAGATCTTTGAAGCAATGCTCAGAAAAAAAAAAACAGGCTTGGAAACTGGAAAATCTAGTTTCGTTATAACATGGACACATTCAGCTTACAATAGCGAGTGCGGATTTACCCTCAAACAGTTTTTTAATTACAAAATATCAAAGGTAAAAAATTTTTTTGCTCATCTCTATTGACTTTAAAGTGTATGCCTGCTGTTCTTTGAGTGTGGTGTCAGTTTAAAATGACAGGGTGTATATCGTTGGATTCTGTGGACTTTCCTCTTTCATTTGAGGTGTCGTTTGTATGCATAGCACAAATTCAGGAGAAATTCTAGTGACTCAACGCTGATATAATTTTATCCTATGTTTTGCTACATGCTTTTCTGGCTTGGTGCTTGAATTGTGTTCGGTTGAGGTAAAAATGGTCAACATGAGCTTTTTGCCGAATTTCTTTGCATAAAGTGGATATGCCGCATGGCAATGTTGCGATGTGGAAATATGCTGTATTTATCACGCGTAAGGGTTTGCCCGTGAACGGGCAACGGAGTTCCTAACAGGTTAATCACGGATGATCGTGTTCACTACAGGCCAAAAGTTTGGGGCCACCCTCAGATTTAAAAAAAAATCACACATCAACTGTTCTTTCCTTATTTTTTGCACATAAAATGACTTCAGTGCATAAAATATAGGAAGCCAATAGGTTTTGAGTGAATTCCAGACCTCAGACCACATTTGTGAGAAGACGGCATGCTGTATAAATGCCTTCCCCAAAACCAAGGGGTAACATTGCACTTGGTGCACCATTAAAAATCTGAGGGTGGCCCCAAACTTTTGGCCTGTAGTGTACTTCAGTTGTGGATGTGTAACGTTAGGTTATCAGACTTGATATGCAGGTTATAAGTCTATTTCAGTTTATGGCGACAGACATATCGGCAAAGTGCCTTCTTCAGGTGTTATATGTTGAAATAAATCAGCTGAAGGAAGGTGCCAAAACTATTCTCTCTTTTTTTAAGACTGTCGAGTTTGCTAACTGTCGGTGAGCTTCTGCTTTTCTCCTCGACATTAGTTAGCTGACCTAGCGCTGGCAACCTAACTAGACAGCTAATTTGGTTCGCAAGCCAAAGGTGTACAGATTAACCAACGAAATTTCATAATGGTTCATAAAACATGGTACACATGGCTGTGGTCTGACATTTTGGTTTTGATGTTCACAAGACATTGTCCAATGCTATAGTTAGCAGCAGCCAGAATTGCTAAAGAGGGATATGAGTCAAAAGAGTCACACAACAGTTGATGTCTCAAGATAAGGGAAGATGAAACATTAACGCTAACCCAAACAATGCAACACGGCAGCACTACCATCTAGTTTTTGTCGAATTTCATCATTAACTTTCCCCCTTTTCTTTGCTGGTTGATCATAATGCATCTAATTGAAGCCGAAGCAGCCAATCAGAATCGTGGCACATTTGTAACACTGCTCACAGCTTGAGCGAGCGCGCAGGTGAAGTTGAGCACGCACAGAGTGGGCAGATTGAGAGAGAGAGAGAGGGACCCACTTTGAGCGAGCATGCTGCTGTCTGCCAGCGCATCAAGCATGGGTTTGTGAGAGGGCATAGAGTGAAACTGAGTGAAAGGGGTTAATATTGCACGTTCATATTGATCATAACAAACATGCAAAGACATTTGCTGAGCACAAAGTAAAGTTTTGTTCGCTCAATCGGAAGGGTTTTTTTCTCATGTTTAATTTTTCCTCAAAATAAGATTTGTGTGCTTGCGCAATATATTTTTCTGCGCTCAAAATTTCCAATTGCTCGCTCAGGATTGTGGCACAAATATGATTCCACAGAGAAAGGGTTAAAAAAAGGGTTTGGCGTAAGAAGCTTGCAAACACTGGACACTGTGGCAGTGAAAAGCGCCTTGTTCCGGGGAGCCTCCACGCAGTGCCTCTGTCAGATTCTTCGCGGGGTATAATTACATTTGCGCATTTCCGAGCCCGAGATGGACTGCCGTTTGCATGGTCGGCGAGAGCAGCTGTCGAGTGCTGGACTGAAGCCTTTTACGCCTACGCGCATTTTCCCCAGTGTGGCATAGCATAGATTTTTACACTAAGATGATCATCCATTATCAAATTTCCCTCGTGTTGCAAAAATTACAGAGGCAGCCGAGAGCTCAATCGAGCCAATACGCTTGCTCCCCACAGTGCTTTTGGAGCGCAGGAGCATTGAGTAAATAAACACTTCGCTACACAGATCTAATGGTTATTATTATTTCTACAGTCACAATCACAGCATGTACCCGCCTGCATCTGTTCACTTTACTCTGCTTGAATAAGAACATGCTTGTGGTAGACTTCATGATGAAGCCTCAGAAAAAAAGCTAAGTTTGGCTGAAAAAAAAAAAAAGTTGATTGCATAAATGGCGCCTCCTAGGTGGCACATTATTGTCAATGGCCGGCTAAGCAGCAACCTATCATCTTGGCTGGTTGACCCATATCTGCCTAAAGAACGGCAATGGCATGTAAAGAAAAAGCATGGTAATGCACATATGGCAGCTGTGTTGATGACATGCTATTTGACTGAAATTCTCCATTCATCGCCAAAATCAACCGGGGTCCAATAATCATAGAAAAAAAAAAAACATTCTTCTTCAATGATTACTGGTGGTTGGCAAATCCGCTTACATTTTCTGTATCCTAAAGCTAAAGTGAGAAAATAGTGCTTTGAATCCGCAAATTTCTATAGAAAACTTAATATGAAAAGCATAATGCCAGAGTAACTAAAATACACAAATATAATGCAGAACGATGATGTATTTGTAAATGATGATGTAGATTTTGACTTGCAATCAAGCAAATTTACTTGGTTCAAAGTTGTGAGCGTGCGCAGTAATCGTGACACAGCTCCTTTTAGTAGCACGTTACCATTTTGTTAGTACAAGTTTGTTATCCAAAATCCTGCCCATTAATTCTTGGTCATGGTTGTTGTTTCAGCATGCAATGGGCAAAATTCTGGAACACACTCTGGACCATTGAGGTCACACACCATCCATTCAAAGACTCATTATCTTCACCACAGAGGTTATGTTTTACCTTCGGTTTGTGGGTAGGTATGTTTGTTTGTTTGTTAGCAACATTGCAGAAAATGTTATGGACAGATTTTTATAATATTTTCACCAGAGGTTTGTCTTGGCCTAACTTAGAAGTGACTTCATTTTGGGAGTGATCCACACCAAATTCTGAATCCAGGAATTTCTCTCTCACTTGTGTGGTCGTACATAAGAACAACACTCGTATGTGTCCCTCACATGTGGGGGACTGTTGGGCCTTGGCAGAGGTATGTGCTCTCTGTGTGCTTTCGTTTACGTCAGCAACAGAGTCCCCAACCAGCCTGACATACATACCTGTCTTTGGAGCATGTTTTGTTAACATTTTGAATGATATTTTTTGCGCTCTTTTTCAGTTATATTTTGTTTCCTCTTGTTCAGGCTTGATGGTTTTTACTGAGACTCAGTTGGCAGCTGTAGCTTTGTTGGGAATTCATGTACTTGGCAAAGGCAGCCATTTTCAGAGAATGCATTTTGGAGATGCTTGTTGTGATTGATCCTGGACACATGTAAACAGGGACCACGTTTAACCCAAGGACTGTGAACTGTCCAAGCATCTGCCAGTACACGCTAGCATGATTGGTTATGAGACTAATGCACCATCAGACTCAAAGAAATAGGCCATTTTTTTCTGCTCAGTTATTTCAGCACGATCTATTAAAAGGGAACAGGCCTGAAAGCATTTTGAGATCAAACAGTATGGAGACTGTATGGAAAACTGTTCAGGTACTAAGTAGCAAAAATGTGCAACTTTACCATTACTCTCAGTGGTATAAGAAAAAGAGAGGATGATAAAAATAGTGCTCACTGAGCATTTACATGTATTTTTTATGCTTTCTTATCAGGAATAGATTGGAATAAGAGATGAATGCCTTACTGTATAATGCTAGAACCACCTTTCACAAATAACTGAACCTATATTAAATACAAACCAAGTTTTGTTCTTTTTTACAGTTTTGATGTTGTGAAACCTCAGAAAAAGCACGGAATATAGATTTCTTGAGACTTTTTGTGACTTGGCATATTTAAAACGTTGATAGGACATTCTGTCGGGCTGGGTAAGGAGGACAAAGAGGACAGGAAATAAATGACAGTTAGATTATTCATTAATTACCACTGTCTGATTGTGAAAGATGTGTGGCTATAGAAAATTATGATGAGGCACTGAATAATCACGACAAAAAGGGTCAGATATCTTACAGGGTTTACATCGGTTGTATGTCACTGCTTCCAATTAGAACTGATAGTGTCACTGTTTATTTTTTATCTATTGGGCTGGTGCACAAAGCAAAAAAAAAAAAAAAAAAAAAATTGTGTCATCATCCAAAAATGTGGATGTCGCAGGAGCTATGTATGTTTGAGAGAAACCTTAAATTGGAAGGCCAGAGAGAAACTGAAGCAAGTAACCAAGTTCAGCCAACCGTCAGTCAACTTTGGTGATACAAACTTAAATTACCGCTCTTGCTGTAAAATACTTCTTTTTTAAA